TCGGAATGTGCACTCCACCAATGTGATGCTCCCTCCTTAAGGGGGTGATATGGCAAGCCCATTCATGAGCTTGGGAAGCGGCTTTCTGCGTGCAGTATTTGCCGTCTTCGAGACCCGAGGCGCTCCATGGATCATGCGGGGTTCCTTCATCAGACTGTTATCGAGCTTCGCCGGTGCTGTCATTTGATGCTTTGGTTAGCTCGAGACACAAGAGGGAAAGGACGGGCCACAAACCTCGTGAGACTAGCCGGCTATAGTCCCCGGACATGGTGTTCTGGCTCCTACTACCCCCTCCGAAGGATGTGGCGCTCGCGGTTCTCCAGAGGTGGTTTGACGTGTCAGATAGGAAATCGGTCATACTACGACCGGAGAAAATAGAGGATCGGCCCCGATTGCGCTTGGACAGAATGATCTCATCAAACAGGGTCATCCGAGGGTCTCGCGACTTGGGATTCGCTCTCTCCCGTTCGCTGATGAACTCGTTAAAGCCTAGTGACACGTCAGCAATTGCGACCATCAGCTCGTAAGCCACTGTGTCTTACCTTGTGTCTGTTGCAGGACAGCAATATATTCCGCATGCTCCCCGGGCAAGCTCTTCATGAAGGCTTCCATGTTGAAGTTGTATGTCAACCCAGCTTTCTTTTTGTCACCAGTGGCGGGCTGAAGGAACTTCTTGTATGTGTAAAACAGGCTGGCAAAGCATCGGACAAACGCAGCGCGAACTTGCTCGGGGTGGAAGGCGGCCGGACACACAAGGCATATCTGGAGGGCGCACCGGTTGTGTACCACTGTCTTACAGGCGGTACACTTGTACATGTTTTCTTCTGCCTGGTCATCACAAATTGCACAGGTGGCCTTGTCGTCCCACGGCTGTACTTGCAAGCAATGTCCCTCCACCCAGCAGGTACCCTCTGCGTTGTGAATGGGCTGCGCGGAGGCCTGGGGCACTATCGTCGACGCAGCGACTGTGGACTGTGCATACACCGAAGGTGCATAGGTGGAACCCGGGTTATAGTCGGTGTTCAACGTAGTTACAGACAGATTGGGTGCGTGGCCGAGGAAGGGAGCACTGGGCCGGCGTGGAACACCGGTACGCATGTCCATCCCGAACGAGGAGCTACGCCGAGATGCTGCATCAAAGTGGCCGGAACGTTTCTCGCGCAGCGATGCCTGTAATGTCGTACCGGAATCAGCACGGGAGCCGGAGACCGACGGGAAATGGCCGGACGTGGGCGAGATGTCTCTGGGAGACGGCGGGGAGCCGGTCTTATGCGTGGAGCCAGTTCCCGGTCGGTCTAGGCCCTTGGACGAATACCCCCTTGAAGCAGCCTGCTCATAGCGAGCATGCAGGTAGGCGTTGAAGATGAGTGGGGGCTGGGTATTCGGGGTTACAGAAGTGGCTCCGAAAGCGCTCGAGTTGAGACTGACGTACTTCGCCAACTGGGTAGATTGAGCCTTGGACGAGAAAATAGAGGAATTCTCCGACATGAATGAATCGAAGGGGTACGTTTCCACGGCATATGCGGGTGGCCCAGTGGGTACTCCGCACCGACTGTGATGAGGAGCAGCCAGCTGAAGCAAGGAAAGTAGCTTTCTGCGCTGATGACGAGGGAGAGGGGTTGGTTGGACAGTGCTTTCGATAAGGTCGGCATCCAGGTCGACCAACACAAAGTCATCTGATGGAAGCTCGACCTTCTCATAACGACGCTCAATACCTACAATGTAGGGACAAGGGGCTTCCAGAGCCTGGATGAGTCGTGCGGGCAGGATGGGAATAAGCACACCGGCCCACTGCAGTGGGAACAACAGGTCAACGATGGCCTTAGTCGCCAGGTACAGCATCGATGTGTGGGATGACAAGAGGATAATGCGCGACTCCGTGAGAGCGTACTCGAACAAGATCATGATGTTCTGTAACGATAGGGCCCGGAAGAGCGCATAGAGGTCGGTGTTTCGAGAGCCCGGCAGCTCATTGGCAGCCTCCTTGCGAGCAAAAAGACGCAACTCACGCACCGCAAGCTCCACCTGCGTCTTGGACGAGTTGGGACTGAATGCCTCAGTACACAGGTTCATCACATATCGCTCCAGGGGTTGCCAGATGCCCATGCGTGGGGAGCTTGGGGGAATCCGCTGGAGGCTGCCGTCCGTCATCGGAACAACAACAGCCTTCAGCCATTCCTTCCAAAAGCTGGTCATATTTTCCTCTCGGCCCAGGATACCGTAGGCGCGGGGAATCCAGAATCCAGTATCCCCATCTGTCAAACCCTCGATCTTCGATGCTGCACCGTGACGGACTGGCCGCAAAAGATCAGTCATCAAGGTGATCTTCTCTTCTACGGCACTAATCTCATCTTCCAGCTGCTCTCGCGACTCTGACCCTGAAGGAACGGTGGGTAGCTGAGCGAGAAGCCTAGAAAGTTTAGCTCGCTCACTTGCCAGCCTCTCACCCAGACTTGCCGCCAACTCCCTCTCTTCATCGGTCATGTTGTCCTTCCGCCACTCCTCGCAGCGCTTCTCGAGTTCTTCGGCCGCTCGCTGGTTGAGTGGGATCCAGATGATGAGACAGATGGCGTGCAAGCGTGAGCCGTTATCAGTAGTCATGACGAAGCCGTGCCAGGTGGATCGCGGCCTTTGGTCCGACGAGACTATATTGATGTCGTTCGGAAAAGCAAACATGGGTACATAGTCCGGGAAATTTCCTCGCAGCTTCAGTTCGTCGGACATGCCCTTTGTCGGATACCGGTCGAGCAGGACGGGCTCGAACCTCCGCTTTAGGGGGTGCATGGTGGGGGAGATTTCGAGCGGTTGCGGGACAGGTATCACGGAGTTGTAGTTACTCAGACGTCGCGAGGTACGGATAGATGCTGTAATTGTCCGCCGTTAGCCATCTATATTCTATACTCCCTATTGTCGGCCTCCCCCTTCATTTACCCCACCAGGATCTCTACTCACCTTGACGAGCAATCGACGGTTGCCTCTTCATACTGTTCATATCGCGGAATGCCATATGTCGCCGCACACTACCTATGCTAGACCGGAGCAGGCCCGCAGGCTGTGGGGTCTCCTCGGAGACGATCTTCTGGGTGCGTAATCTGGATCTGGGACGAGTCGAGGGGGTGATTGCGCCCGCGCTGACATTGAGATCCGACAGAAACGACTCCCTCTCCGACGCGAACTTGAACAGCGCTTTGTCAAAGTCGAAGTCTTCGAGAAAGGAGGAGCCCCGGGGAGAAGGGGCACCCTTGATTGTCATACTGCTGCGGTTGCTGTGGGTGCCATTCTCGTTGGGTTCGGGATCGACCGAGCGCATGGAGAAGCGCTGGAAGGAGGTACGGTTTCCCGCCATGGAGATGGGACGGGAGAGACTGTCCAGATGGGAATCCTCCTCGGCATCGGCATCTTCCTCGATGGTATCTGTAACGGCGGGGCCCGGTGAAGTGGCATTGTTGGCACGGTACTCATCCCCTAATTTGCGATAGGTTTCCAAGACCTCTGTTCCATCGACACCAGCAATCCAGAAGTAGTCGGCGAGCGGGGTGGTGGACGCTTCGGGCGGGGAAGAGGAGGAAGAGGAGGAGGAAAAAGGCATCTCGTCGAATCGTCGCTGAGAGATCGCAGGGTTGTACTCATCAATCGTCACAATTCGTCGGGGTCGTCACAGCATGGAGTAAATGCAATTGCTAGATGTTCTGAATTTCCCAGGAACATCAACAGTGAGGAGGGAGGGGGAGAGAATTTGCAGAAATTAGGGGGGGTTGTGTTGCAGAATCACGGGCGGGTGGTGAAGAGAGTAGTAGTAGTATTAGCAACTAGAACGCATAAGTCTAGAAATGCGACGCTGTCGCGAACGCGAACGGGCAGGATGGCTGGGGCTCTCAAGCGTCGGTGCAGATGCAAAGAGGGGAATAGAAGGACGAATTGCAGAAAGGCAGATGCTGAAAAGAGGAGACGATCTGAAAGGTTGATCTACGCATTGACAAGAAAAAAAGGAGTGTCGGTTAGTGGAGGAGGAGGGAGGGAGGGAGGGAGGGAGAGCCAGCGAGAGCGAGAGCGAGAGAGAGCGGAAGAGAGACAGGTGAGGGGGCCAAGAGGGAAAGGGAAAAAGAGAGACAAACTGGAAAAAGGAGGAATGCTTTGACAGGTGTCTCTTTGTGTAGGAATGGGAAGAAAGTTAAGTTATGGTTCCTTAATTTTTTAAAAAGACCCCTAACCTTCTTCATTTTTCCTTTTTTTCTACTTTTGAATATTATTATTATTTTTTATTCTTTTAATTCTTGCTTGACTTCAATGGTCATGAATTTCTTCTGCCTTAAATTTTTATAATACAATTTTTTTTTATTTTTCGAACTAGACTCACTACGCAGACGGATGGTTGCGTAGACACTGGGAAGGGGGGAAAGCGAAACGGCTGCCAAAAGTCCAATCCAGCCCCGGCACCCCCCGTGTGTTCCCCCCCTCCTCCCTCCTACTTCCTCCTTACCCTTCACGGTTGATCTGCTACTAGTAGACGGTCCGACTGCTACTACACACTGTCTGTCTACACCCTCCCCTGCGCTCTCCTGCGCACACGCACTACAACCACAGCCGTCACTTCCTTCAATCTTCCCTTTACTAAATTATTTAGTGGAGTCTTCTCCTACAGGTCGATCCGAGATTCCACATCTATTAAATTCAGGAAAAAGAAAAGAAACTTATAAAAAGAAAGTCTACCAAATGGTTGGAATATCAACTATATGTGGATCATGTCAAACAAAGAAGATGGTCGGAAAAGGGAGAGGCGATAGAAGCAGGCAGAGCAAAAGCAATTTGCAGCCAGAGAAAAGAAAATAACAAATAAACGTGCAGCTCTGCCCAGATTGGTACCGGAATACAACGAGTCGGTGGGACATCCTGCTGCTACTACGGAGTACTACTGCCGCTCACCTACTATTTAGTAGGCAGACGCAGTTCCCAGGTACCAACAACCTTTTTTACTACCCCCCAAAGTCCCGGGCGCGACCATGAACTACTGCAAGTGTGCATGGTTGGGTGCGTCCCGCCAACCACCATCCGCAGCCGCGCAGCAACTCCCGCATCAGCTGTGTTACGAGGATCCGCTTGCTTGCTTGGTCCGGGCAGAAAAAAAGGAAAGCAAGGTATCTGATAGGACGGGCCAATACTTGGTGCAGCTGCCGCTGCTTCCTCCTACCAAGGACTACTGTGATACTCGGTATAACTGCTGAGAGGTATGCACATAACTCACTGAGTACAGCTAGGCATCCGGAGCACAGAGGAACTTGCATCCTCATCTGTGAGGGACAGGTACGGCAGCATATCAATCGCTGGGCCCTCAGTGGATCCCGTCGCGCACAAATGGCTTGGCTCACCGGCATCTCTTTGCTCCTGAATGGTCCTCGTTGGATCGCTGCAAGAGAACTACCGTTCGGAATAACCATGGAAAACACAGACCATTACGTCTTCTCTTATCGTTACGGCCGCCGAGGGTTGAAGCTTGGGGCTGAGAAAGAGGCCATGTGGAGCACTTCGAAGAAAATGCGGGATTTCGAGGCCACTATGGTAATTATTGTTATTCTTATTATACATCCGTTGGACACACAGTTATCGCTCCTCTCATTGTTTGTGTCCGACCGACAGGCTCGACCGTGCAGTAAATCGAAGGCTAATTCCATACGCACACGCACACAGCCAGCCTCCTGCTAAGCTGTGCCTGGGGCGAAGGAAGTACGGAGACTAAAGGTAGCAACATCGGAGTTCCTAAATAGGTAGGTAAGTGCCAACCAGAGTTCGGAGATCGCCATGACAAACGATGATTGGAGGACCAGCAACGCAGCCTTGAATCCCATGGATCCAGAATTGTTAGAGCTGAAACTGGAGGGCGGTTCCTGAAAGGGGGAAAAGGGTGCGGTTATCTCTGGACCAAGACAGCCGAGGTTCTCACTTCCGCATTGTGGGATTAATTGCAAAGGACCGAAGCGCATACCAACCCAATTTCTTTTAACAAGATAACTCACTGATATTGTGGGTACACAAATTTCAGCACGATTCTGGGTGCATATTTTTCATATTTACCTCAGACAAAAGAAAGGAGGTGGATCCTCTGGATTCTCGCACCCGACCACCCGAGAACTCCAAGTCGAAATGGCCCGGGGTTGCGTTGATGATCGATGTGGAGCCGAAGCAATGACGATAATCCGGTGCCAAAATCTATTTCGCCGGTCGACACCCGAGACGAGACCAGATATTAATTTTGAGCAGATAAATGATGAATTTCAATCAAATATTATTACGATGAACACTATCCTTATATTGTCGAGACATGGATTCGTTCTCAAACTCACGCACCTTACCCAATGGGGTAACATCACACCGTCACAGAATAGATAAGACACCGGCATAGATTGAGGAACCAGTTTCACCATTTTAAACTTAATCCAACCAGTGCCCCTTAACTCCGGCTTCATAGGGCTCAGCGTAAGAAGAAAACCTCATACATATTACCAAATCAAATCCCGTATACTACTATCTATATAGGGAAAACAAGCCACCACTCACTCACTCACTCACCTCAGGCCGCCACCAAACACTAAGGTATGTACCCACCACCACCACCAAAGGCAAAAAGAAATTTCATAAATCCAGTGGCTAGTACAGTAAGTAGACCAAACCCTGCAGCAATCAATGTGTAGGTTTTCATCATACATGCATACAATCTAAACCACAAATGGACAACAGCAATTTCAGCCTCCCAGCCCAGCCCATCTTTACTTCTTAAGAAAGAAAGACGGGAAAAGAAGATAAAGAAAAGCAAAGAAAAAGAAACCAAAGAGAAAGTTCCAATAATGGTTCCTTGCATAGCCCTACTTCCCCGGACTTGCTTACCCGCATGATTGATGCAGTAGACCAACCAAGCCAAGCCCAAACCAACCAAGCATTTTACAGTAGTCAGTTAGTTGGTTGGTTGCTTCAGATTATTCTCTATTTTCACTTGATTTTTCAAGCCCTACGCAGCTTGCCTTGTGGACTCAAAAGAGAAGAAACGAAAAGAAAAGAAACTCGGTGATGTTCCGACCGATTTACTTACTGTTATCTACACTGACTACGACGCTACGGAGTATTCATTACGGCTTGAGGGATCTCTTTTCGCCATTTGATGTTAACATTTTCCCTAGACTATTCTACCCTCTTCTACGGGGCATAGATATTTTCATAAATACCACTTACCTACTAAACCCCACCTTATTCAATATCAATTACTATACTATCTAGAACCCCGTCCCGCAGTGGACGGACATTTGACACCTCTGACAGGGACGGAGAGAAAGAGAGAGGGAGGAGGGGCGGTGACTAAACCAATTCGAACATGTAGTTACATAATAATTCCTACGTAGTAAAATTAGAGGATAACCTAACAACAAATTTAAACTTTTATCTAGCTGTTTTGCAGATAGAGTAATTAATTTTTAGTCAGTAGATAAGTACTTAGAAGTTGAAGAAAGGGGTCGGTCGGTCGGTCGGTCGGTGATGGAGTCAGTGTGTGAGAGGTTGGTTGGGACGGAACAACAGCACCCGCAGCACCACACACACACACCGTATAGTATACAGCAGCCCAGCCCAGCCTGTAAGGCAGAGCAGTTGCATGGTCTGGACCTTGATCAGCCCACTGACTGACTGACTGACTGACTATCATCCAGTGTACGGGTATGGATAAATTATCCGTGTTATCCCTTATTATAGCCATGATGTCTTTGATTTTCTAGACATACCATGTTAACTAACTGTCGGGAGGGAGGGAGAGAAAGAAGAACGCCAGCGAGTCAAGTTAAGACATACTAACTAAGTACTAATTATATCCTCCCCAGAATTGAATGCCATTGTCAGGGATTCTCTTTTCCTTTCTTTGGCATCCATGCAAGGCCAAGAAAAAACCCAAAGTAAATAAAATAATCCCAGCGAAATCCAATCCAACTCTAGCCTAGCCTAGTCTATTCTTCTTCTTCTTTCTTTTCTCTCTGCGGGGGCTAGAACATCCAAATGCCGAATAACCCATCCGTCAACCTGCCACTCAGTAGTAAAACAGCCTGGTTCTATTTTATTCTATGGAGTACGTACGTATTCTATTCATTCTCTAGGAGTGGACACCTGACAACAACTTGGTTTTTTTCTTTGGTTGCTGAGTTTGAGGTAAATTTAGGTTTGACCTAGACCTATCTAGACCTGAGCACTAGACTTTCTCTTTCCCTTTACCCTTCCCCCCCGACCGGTGGTCCGTGGGGACGGTTGGATGGATGGTCTCGACCGCTCCCGGGGAGAATTATCATGTTTTCTTTAGGTTTCAGGGTGGATTTTGACTATTTGCTGAGGTACAGGAGGGTGGTTGGTTGGATGGTTGGATGGTTGGCTGATTGACGATCAACTACCTAGTAGATACTGTTACTTATGGTGCTGACTGTGTTGCACAAATAGCACATGGCTGGTCAGTTGTGGTGGCTCATTCACAACTAATCAAGAAATATAGTAATTCAACGACTCCTTCCTTATGGGGAACAAAATCTATCTAAAGATAGAATGGAATACGGCCAAGCTTCCGTCGGCGTTAACGGGGGGCGCCGTCGGAAGGTACCTTTTTTTTGTTTCTTCTGTACACCCCTAGACTAGTACTAGACTCCCAGATAAGCCCCCGAACATATGATGTTAGTCTCGTCGTTTTTCTTTGTCCCCGTTAAACGTGTGTAACCACCACGCAAAGTGTCGCAAGCTAGGGGATTGGGATTGGCTGCCCTGAGAAGGTTCGCATCCGTGCAACATCCGCTTGGCTCCCGTCTCATCCATTCATCTGGTGTGCTGATGCATGCCTCCGTGGAGTCGGTGATTGGTTGAGGAAAATCACCGGTGAGCTTGTGAGTCTTCAGACTGCCACACACGGAGCTGGAGGGTTCTTCGGGATCTGCGCTGGCATCGTTGGCTGCAGTGTCTGGAATGTGTGTCTGTTGTTGTTACACAAGGGGGTCAAAGGCCAAGAAAAAGCCCGCTGCAGTTCAGGTACACAGCAGAGAGACAGTAAGCAGGAAATATTACGTCCGATTGGTCTGTCTCATGCCCGTCTTCGCGTCATCAAATTACCCGTCGTTAGGAATCCTTTGTCGCCCATCGCGCCTCTCCACTCAATCGACAGCTGGCCCAGCACGGCGCGTCCGTCGCGTTTCATGTCCTTCTGCAGGGTCTCCAGCCCTTCCTGTTGGCCTTCTTCTTGCTCGACGAGGAATGCAACCTGCAAGACATCCCGCGGATGTAGAGTCGGTGGCCGCGGATCCGCTTGTTCCGGTCCTTGTAGATCCCAATTGAGGGATACAGCCTTGAATGGCGGTTTCGGATTGAGCCTCGTTTGCTGTCAAAATTAGCATGTCGCCCAGGAGACGTCTCACTTTGGCTATGATTTGTGTTCGACGAACCTTGACCACCACAGGACCATCGCCTACGTTCTCTAGTTGCGCTTCCAGAGCAAACCGGAGCAACCGGGTCTTGCCATATGGCCCGAGTGACTTGTTCTCGACTTCCAGGGGCGCCAGCTCTGATGATTTGGTTCGAACACTCAAACAGGGCTGTGCCACGAACTGATAAAGCTTGCGGAAGGTTCTCACACGCCCGCTGGCTGCTTGCGCGTCCGACCCAATCAATGTCTCCGTGTAGCTGACGCTAACCGCCAGGATGTGATTCCCTTCCTCCTTGAGATCAAACCGTACTATTTTTTGTAGTGAATGGCCCTTCTGCACCCCGTCCTTCGAAGCCGTGTCTTCGGCCGGTTCTAGGTCTAATGCCGCTACCTGCGATGGTGTTTGCATCTCTGCCACTATACGAACCGATGTGACGACGCGCGACGTCTCCTCATCCGGCAACTCATTATTGGCGCTGAGAGTGCATGCAAACGTCTCACCCACATACGCAGATCCAAACGCCGGAGGTAGGGTTAACTTGTCGAACAGTCAGTGAGGTGAGGTTATGACTAAACTTGGACGGCCTTCGTACATTGGGGGTGAGGATGAACTGATCGTCGACATTATCGGCGGGATAGCTGAGTGAAGCTTTGCTTGAGATCTTCGTGTCTGCTGCCGGGAGGGGGTACTGATAGGATAAGGAAGGTCGCGATAGCCTTGCACGGTCAGGAACAAGCGGAGCTGTCGGGTCAAGTTCGGTGCTTACCGCAATACTGGACAAGATCAGCCAAGGTGCCGTAATAAAAGGGTGTCCCAGCAAAGCGTACCTTTGAGAGAGACTGCATGTGGCTCTTTGGGGGCATCAGCGCCCGAGTGAGCGCGAGGGCGTGCCATGGAGGGATGTGATTGTGAGTTGAACCAGAGCCGGACGCGGCGTCATTCCGTCGTTATCAGCGCCGCACTAGCTTCAAGCAAACAAGCCAAATGGGGCAAACCGAGCAAACCTCCGCATTGGCCGGGATACGCGAACTATTGGATCATCCTGGCTCAAACTTGACTTGATAGCTCCGATTTCTTATTCTCATCAGACAAATGGAGATATCCGAACCCGCCTAAGATCGTCAATGTGACATCTACAGTAGATCTTGATGCTAGGCAGGTCATTGATCACGCTTTTCTCCCAGATCTGTCAATTTTTTTTTTTGAGGATTAGCCTGATTATGTCATGATCCGATCTGATTGCTTATCGATTAGGGGTCGTTTACTCCATACTACGGAAGCCACCACTGCGACTATTCTTGTCTTGCTACGCCTCCTTTCTCCCTTTGTCAAGCTCCTGGCCTAGAATAGCTTCTGGGTTCAGAATGGGAGTGACACGTACAACACCTTCTCGCCAGCAGCATGCGAGCGCCTCCACGCCTACGGACGCTCGAGCTACACGCTCAAGAGCTGTGGCAAGCACCCCCGCATCGTCCAGGAAGCGAAAAACGACTGAACAGAGTGTCACACCAAGTACGTCATCAAAGAAGTCGCGTCGATCTGCTCCAAGTCGCCCTACTCAAGATCCCGTTGAGGTGATCGATCTGACTGGCGACACCCCTAGCCCTGCTAGAAGAAGAGCTCGAGCACCAGCATCATATGACGAGCCAACTCCTGAGCGCCGCGCGAGAAGATTCCGCACCCACCCTCCCAGCACATATCTTGATAGAGCCGCCCGTGCACTATCCCAGCGGTATGCCGTACTTCGTGTTCGGACCCTATAGCAAGCTAATGTGTGCCCTGCAGGATGTTTGTTGTCGGACATAGTGTCACGGAAGTCGATGATGCGCCCGAGATATCATTCGACATTGTCGGTACCACTGGCAACGTCTATAAGACCACGATAGGGAAGGTGCCATCTTGCAGCTGCCCAGATGCTCTAAAAGGAAATCAATGCAAACATGTCTGCTATGGTACGTCGAGCCCCTTGCGTACCCAGTTACCCCGCACCCTCGTCTCTCTGCTTGGTAATTCTGCAATGTCCGAGTTGCTGATTCTTCTGGTTTGTGAAGTTCTAGTCAAGGCCCTTAGAGCGCCCCAGCATCTTCAATATCAGTTAGCATTCTTGTCGTCGGTAAGTTCGGTTGATGGTAGCCGCATGAGATTGCAGTGCTCATGGCTATACCATAGGAACTCCGAGAAATGTACAACGGCTCTCCCATCAGCCGCGAGCAGGCCAACGTTGAAGAAAACAAGGATGGGAACAGGAAGCCTGTTGAAGGCGACTGCCCGATCTGCTTCATGGAGTTTGAACCCGACAAAGAAGAGATAGTATGGTGCCGAGCAGCATGCGGAAACAATATACACAAGACTTGTTTCCAGAAGTGGGCCGCAACTCAGCAAGCTCAAGGAGTGAGATGCGTTTATTGGTATGTTCCATCACAAGACTAAGAGCAAAAGCGCAGCTGACTCTCCGCGCAGCCGTTCTCCTTGGCAAGCAGATACTGGTAACCTGAAGCTTGATGAACTGGTCAAAGGAGCCAGTGTAGATTCCGATGGCTACGTCAATGTAGCCGATCAGCTCGGCCTGTCTGGAATTCGCGGTATGAGACCGAATCTGTGATTCTCACGTTCACTTGTTTATTGCCTTAACGTAGGCTGATACTGACAGTTCTGGTATAGATTGTTCAACATATCATCCTTACTGGGTGCACCGGCAATCGTCTCGTTATGGTTCGCGACGTGGTAGAGGTGCGTGGGACTACGCCAACCGATATTAGTAGTGAAGCTTAGCCGTCTGGCCTGGATTGTTTTCTGGATCTTTATAAGCGTCGCAAGTCTGAGATTGATACCCAGCGCATGTCATTCAGTTATATTAATACATTGGTATCATTCTTCCAAATGGGCAGTACATTTAGCTCTATCCAACAATAAGGCGAGATTGCACCGAACATAAACTGATTTGTCTGTGCAAATAAAATTTGAAGTCCTCCCTGCTGCCAGAGGTTCTATCTACTGACCCCAAGTAGTAGTCTTGCTGGATATCACAGCGGCTCTTATCCTGGTAAACTTTCAGCTCCAGATGAGCATCCAAAATCAACGATACTGTATACCACGCCCGAGCCAACCTCATCGCTCAGTTCCAATCTAATCTAGATTGGCCACGCAGACACATGGACAAAGTCCGTGTCCATGATCCGAACCGACGCGCACCCCCCGCTGCATGGGAATAAGAGGTATCCAACCCCTCCAAACCGGGACAAGCACATTAGTACCCCGTAGAAGGCACACCTCAGAGAGCTCTCTACCACGAAATGAATGGTAGCCAAATGCATGCATGCAAGCATTATATAGCCATGACAAAATTTTGGTTTCCCAAGGAGATTCTTCATCCACTGTCCTTCACGACCCGCCGACCCCGACGAACAACAGCTACACTCACTGCTTCTTCGCCCGTCATCCACGAAGGCATTTTTTCTGCATTGACGATGCCATTCTCGGCTAGTTTGCGGAATCCGCTGATTATGTCTGTACCGGTGAAGGTGAGGGAGAGGGTTGGTGTTGACGATGTTGATGTGGATGTTGATTTGGGATTTGGGGGATCGAGGAGACGGATATCGAGACGGTCGAGCGGAGCAGAAAATAGAGATGCGGAGGTACCGAAGCGGGATTGTACAGTTAGGGTGCGCTTTTTGGAGACGTGCGGGTCTTCGTGGTCGGTTTTGGATCGTTTGGGTGGTTTAGAAGTGGAAGGGTCTGCGTCGTCGGGGTGTTGGTTCTCCTTGTGGTGTGAAGGATGGTTCATGTGCTCTTCTGGGGTGACGGTGTTAGATGGTCGAGGGTCCAGCGGACTTCCTTCGAGGGCGGCGTCGGCGAAGATGCTGAATGCGCCGGTGGATTGGTTGGCACGACCGGGGCCGCGGAGGGAGAGGAGTGCTTGGAGACTTTTTGCTGTTAGGGAGGTGGGTTTGAGGGTGTAGCGCTGGTGGGGGAGAGAGAGGGCCTTCGGGAGGGCGTCGCGGACGAGACGTTGCAGGCTGCGGGGGTCGGTTGCGATGGCGGTGGGGGTTGCGGATGCGCTAGTGGTTTTTGAGGAGCCCGGGGTCGAGGCTATGGAGGTGTATAGGTAGGGACAGCTATCTGGGAAGGCGATGTAAATGACGCGCGAGGCGTCGGTGAGGAGTTCGGCGGCCTGGCGCGGATGTTGGTAGGGGGAGTTGGTGACGAAGATGCGGAGGAAGGTGAGAGGGAGTGAGGTCGAGCGGGAGAGGTAGTAGTGCGCTTTTACTAGCGGGGAGATCTGTTGCTGAAGCTTGCTGAGGAAGGTTGAGGCGTGGACGCGCGGGAGACATGCGGAGAGGTCGGAGGGGTCTGATTGTTGTTGTTGTTGTTGGCTTTCGATGCGGGAGAGCTCCAGTGCGGTCCATCGGAGGCTGGAGGAGTGGTCGTCGATGTAGCGAAGGTCGACCATGGCTAGTTGTCGCAGGGTAATCCCATGTCTCCAGTCGCCTTCGAGGATGCGATCAATTACTTCGCGTTTGCCGCCTTTTCGCAACTGCAACTCCTGGTATGCGTTTCGGACATCGTTGACGGTGCGCTCCGCAGGATAGGGACTCAGTCCCTCGTCCTCCTCCTCTTTCTCGTCTTCATCTTCTTGGAGATATGGTGGGAATGCCTGGAGATTGCGATCTTCGAGCCATTGGAACGCCAGATCCAACAGTGCTTGTCGGGTGAGCTTGCCAAAGGCTTTGACTAGGGACGGCGTGGAGGAGGGAATGCGGAGGTTGCTGGGTAGACTGGCGGTTGTAGGCGCGCGAACGGACTTTAGGCGGGCCATTGCGTGTGAGTGTTGATGGAAGACCTACTAGGTAGGTCCATGTAGCAACAACTCGGCAGATTGGTAGGGCTGAGTGGTTACTTTGCTGAGTTTGGGATTGGACACATTGGATGCGGCGCGAAGCTACGGGATTGCGGGTGGTTCCTGGGGCATCAACAAACAGCATCACGTGGAGATAGAATCACCGGGTCTTATCTTAGTGCGGTTGGCAGCGCAGGGGCTCCCGCATTCTAGTCGATCGTCTCCAGTCATTCTACTACTCCTCTTTTCATTGATTTGATGTCTGAATAGCGCTATAGATGCCGGAAATAGCGTGATTACAGGGTATGTTGTCTACACGTCGACTATCGAGTGATACATGAACATACCACATCTGCAAGGATGGACAGAGGAGAGGTTGTGGATAACCTCATACGATAAGTATGCAGATCCCGATTATTAATGAGGAGGTTGTGAGGTTGTGCTCGCGGATAATTTTACCCTTTTCTGTAGTCGGCACTTGGCTAACTGGATTCAGCAGGTACACGAGATGTGGTTTATAAGCAGGGAGATTAACTCCTCGCGAACCGCGCAAAATCCGAAGTAGAACAATAATACTAAACAATACTAAGGTCGCCAAGCCATCAGCCTTGAGCCAACCAGGGCATCCATAGCGGGCACCCGGCCAGGCAAGTCTGGTAGACCATAAGCCAGTGCGAGGGAATTTGTTCAATCTGACTTCACACGGGAGTGGCCAGAGTCATCCCTAAAGTTCAACCGGTTTGGACCCTAAAACCAGGCCGGCGAAGGACGGCGGCAGTGCCATTCTTTGGTTCCGCAAGCCCGACTTCGGCCACCGGAAAGAGGATGACTCGGGTTCGATGTCATCAGCGGAAAAGCATTTACTGTAGTGGTTAGTAGTGATTGTGCGGTGGCAACACGCGGCCCCCGGGTAACCCAGCGCAGGTACTGTGTACCTCAAGGGAGGGAAGGAAAAGTATCCAGATTCCGGGGCCCAGCGGATGGGGAGATTAGATCTAGAAATAATTTGGAAAAGAATACTTGATAGGAGTGAATGATTGCAAGATGATGCAAGTAGCGATCGGAGCGAGACAAAAGCGTAAGTGAATGAGAGGGACGGTTAGTCACCGGGATTATTCAACGGGGCCATTGTGCCGCATTTTCCCCCCGATAACTTAATAATCAGCGGCTTCCCTCCAATTCCCCCGCCCCGCCGCAAATTCCCACTCTTTTTCGTCTCCGGCTGTCCCACACTCCAAACTCGACTTGACCCTCTTTCTCTCCTCGACTCTTCCCACGCCTTTTATCTTCTCCTGTCTCGTCTTTGAATCCCGCTGACACCCCATATCGCTTGCACTGCGACCCCATCGATTGGTCCGCCCACGACGAATACACTGTGCGGGTTACCGTGAACGGTTTTTGAATACTTGGTGGTGATCGTACGACCAAGTGTCCCTGTGGAGAGGGACTTCGATATAGAAACTACGAAACCTGACTACAATCCTCAATACTCGCATCGCCGGACTTCAGGGAAAGAGGCCCGTAAAGCCTCAAAAACACATCATGTCCGAATTCAACGGCCGTCGGGCCCCCAACTTCTCTCAATATCTTGATGACCTGAATGCCATTCCTTCGCCGTACGATCAGGCCCTTCAGCAGCAACATCAGGATTCATACAACCTCGAAAATGAACTATCGCTTTTTACCAATGCCGAATTCTTTGATTTCGACAAGTTTGCCGATCTGAATCTGCCCAACTTTGACCAGCTGGAGGACAACACAGTCAAGAAGGAAACCGCGCAAAACACCAGCTCTGACATGGACTTTTTGAATCTTTTGGGAGGTGAGTTGCTGTGCAGTTTCTTTGAAAACACCACGATATACAATCCTTGGGTCCAAGCTGGGTGGTTACGGGCAACTGTTGGTGTATTGTTGAAGCAGTTGCATACTTCCTGCATGTGCACCGCTTCGCCAGTTGCTTCAACCTTCAGCCCTCAATCAATGTGCTTTTTCCATACATTCAGCCCGCCAACCCCCTCTTTCATTTTTCCTTTGTCCAATTTGCTTTGATTGTGCGAATTTCGTACCCTCTCAGGGACTAGTACTAGTGGGAGAAGCTTTACTATATCCCTGAGACACGAGCTGTTCCTTCCGCCGCGCACCTCATCTGCAGGCTCTCCCATTGGCTCGTATGCTGCACGGGGTCCTCTTTGTCTGTGCGCGATCGCAAAACGTGCAGCAGCCTTGCCTTGGCCTGGGATAACGCCAATCGCTCTCGTGATGGCGCCATACCACGTGACCCGTACAGCGTGGGAGGTTGCAAAGAGGCACCCTTTGTGGCACATTCAAGATGATCTGGGCTCGTGTTGATCCTAGTGATGCTGTGCTTTATACCCCTTCCGCCCAGCTTTGGACCCTTTCCTCTTGGTCGACTTGCTTGCCTCATCAGGGGCCTTCATCCAATTATGATAGTCATGACTAACATTCTCTAGAAGGCTTCGGCAATGTCAACGACATTTCCTCTACCATGAACTCCATCAACACCCAACCTTTACCGGTTCAGAACACACAGTACTCTGCAGTTCCGTCCCTGCCCAACGGTCCCCTCAACATCAACCCTGCTCCTAGCCAAGCGGCTTCTCAGCCCTCCCCGCAGTCCTCGATCACATCCCCGCCGTCTGCGGCTGCCACCCCCGCCCCGGCCCCGGCTACCACCTCCCCGGCAGCAGGACCTAAGCGCAAGAACACACAAAAGACCCCGGCCATGAGCGTAGAGGAGGCCGCGCGCGTTGCCGCCGAAGAAGACAAGCGTCGCCGGAACACCGCCGCGAGCGCCCGCTTCCGTGTGAAGAAGAAGATGCGTGAGCAAGCTCTCGAGAAGACCGTCAAGGAGACCACCGAGAAGAACACTGCGCTGGAGGCTCGCGTCACGGCCCTGGAGCTGGAAAACCAGTGGCTCAAGAACCTGATCACCGAGAAGAACGGACAAACCTCGGAAGAGGCCAAGAAGTCGGAGAGCGACATCGCCGCCATGTTCAAGAAGTTCCTGGCTTCTCAACAGCAGAAGGAGACTGAACGGAGTAGCTTTGAGTCCAAGATCGGCGTGGGCACTGCCTAAACCCGACATCCTCGTGTTGTTCTCTTTTCTTGCTTGTTCATTTGAGCTTTGTAGATGATGTTTATGCAGAGTCGCTGATTCTCCCATCATTTTTTTATCTCTTCTTATTCTTTTACCCTTTTTTTTTCTCTTATATCTAATGGTGTACATGAGGGGATGGCGTCGCGGTGCTCGGAAATACCTAGGCTCGTCGGTGGCATGAGTGATGTTTATGAAGTACAAAAATTCTTCGATCGAAACAGATCAGATCAGGAAAAGCTGTTGTGCATATCACACACACGGTACCTGTTTCTCTTTAAAAAGCACATGACAATGAAAAATGAAACATTGACAATCAGTTATAACGTCCTGTCTCCATTTCCGTATAATCACGCGTATACTCTACCTAATGGTCCATAGTCACTTGTGTGGACCTAGTGATCTGGCGCTAATAACACTGATTAAAGCAGAAAGTTTTGATCTGCTATTACGAGTGAAGTAGAGGTCTACTATTTACCGCAGTCATCGTAAGAAAGTTGAAAATGTTACTTACACTCGTTTATTCTAATCTTCCTCTTTAACACTCCCCCAACGTGAAAGTTCAACGCATATAATAGGTACTATTGTTTTTCATATAATATGCAAAGCTGATGTCCTTCACCTCAAAACACGGAAAAAGGAAAATAGCGTAGCAAATACATTCATGTAAAGTAGATATGGAAGAAAGAGAATAGCGGGACAAAGGTAAATTGACATCAAAACAAAGACAATAATGGAAGAAAAGATAAAATAACATTGATCAATGTGCCATACATGCTTGCAAGCCCTTGGGGATATCAAATAGAAACCGTACCGTGCCGTGCCGTGCCGTCCGTCCGCCCGCCCAGATAGATAGATAAGTCCTGTCCCGTGTGCACCGTGCCCAGTCCCGCGTTTATCCATCCTACCGATCATGGTTCTTGGTATAGGAGGGGGATGTACAGATGTGCAAAAGGAGTGAAATCAGGAAAGGGAATATGTGGAATGAATATCAAACGCCGTTTTAACGCCTCATAGCAAGATAATAGATAGGTTGTGGGGGTATGTGGAGGGAGGGACTCATTCAGTCTCAGGGTGAGTTAGTTATAAAACGAAACCCTCTGTGTATGTGGTTGCATTAGTCATTACTTGGAAAGAAAGAACGCAGAAGCAAAAAGAACAAGAAAGCAGAACGGGGTTCACTCAATCTGTCATGGAATATCTCATCTTGCGTAACTTCGTTGCAGTATCAAAGAAGGAAAGAGAATGGAAAATTTTCTTTTCTTCTTGGAAAGATAATCTGGGTGGGAGAGTTGATTCGATACCCGATCAAATCAACCACCCTACTCACCAGAAAACTCTCTCTTCATGTCTGTCACACCCTCAACTTTTATTTCGGGCTCCTCCTCTCTCCCTTCGGCAAGCTTCTCTTCATCGCTCTCTTCACCGTTAATCTCTCCCCATCCTGAGCTGCGACGGCTGATTCGCCCCGTCAATGGTTGGTTGCTTGACGGCCCGGACCATGGACTGCTCATACCGGTCCCAGTGATGCTGGCTGCATTGCTGTCGTGGCGACTGTGCGACTGGGCCGCGCTGATGACGCTCGCACCGTCTCCTGCAGTGGCGTTCTTGTGAAAGCTGCCGCGCTCACCGCTCCCTGCGAGAGGCGTGGCCCCGGAGGCCGAGTAGACGCTGGCACGCTCAACACTAGCAAGACCCACCAAGCTAGGTCTGTTGAGGACACCCGGCGGATTGAATGAAGAGGAGGTCGCTGACTCTCCGACATTTCCACTCAGCACACTCAACGGTAAACTCTCTCGGCTGCCACCGAACACGGATGACGGCGCCAGGGCGCGAACAGAGGCATTTGTGTCCAAAGAGTTTCTGCGGCGCCTTTTTGATGACGATGCGAGAGTCAGAATGGAGGCGTTGTCGGTCAAGATATTGTTGGCTGTCGCAGTACTATAGGTGACCGAGTGACCATGAGGGGCAAGGTGGGGCGGCACGGCCGTGGCTGGCGACGGGGGAAACTGATGAGAAAATTGCACTTGTTGCGTCGCTGAACTGTGTAAAGAACCGGTATGGGTCAGACCATGGTGCTGGTTTTGCGTATTGTAGAGCTGCCCGGAAGGTGCTGCCGATTGCACAGTGGTCAAGGTCGTGGTCAGAGATCGCACCGATGGCGCGGGCGATGAGAAGGTGCTCCCCTCGCCTCCCCCCTGCGAACTGATGCCACCACCCGCTGTAGCCATCGTCCCTGCCTTGGAATATGCTGCATCGGAGATGGCCGTGTCGCCGTTGGTTGAGATGGTTGGCGCGGTGGACTTCGCACTGGTGGCTGGGACCTGCTGCTCGTACCCGGAATATGCGAGGGAGGGTTCGCTCTGCGAACAAGACCTCCGATCGGAATCTGCGCTCGCCTCAGAAGTGTTGAAGTCGCTATTATAGTCGGGAACCATGTGGGCAGTGCCCGACAGCGGGTAGGGGTTGTTCTTCGAACTCCGGCTTTTGTATTTGGGCATCGCATGACGCTTGTTGGACCAGCGGTTGGCACTTGAATCGGTAGAATGCTTGAGACTGGCGAGTCGCTTCATCCAGCTAGAAAAGGGGTGGCGACGTCCATTGCGATCTATGCCTTGTACATGAGCAACAACTCAGACAAGAACTTCTGAGATGAGCTAAATTCACTCACCATGCGCCCTGGCGGGCCCTTCAGCCGTGGCCATTCTGGCCTTCCAACAATCCACCGGTGAGATAGCCAGTGAAAGTGAGTGATTATGCGATCGCCACACTCACGACACGTTCCCCGTAGCGAGTGATGCAAGTCCACAGGGATACAGCGATAGACGGTTGGCCGATCAGATAACAGCCGCAGGGGAAGATGCGTGAACCGAAGAAACGGATCTAAAGGGTCGGAGGGGTAGCGGAGGGAGAGACAGAGATGGGAAGGGTGACGGGGGGCGAAAGCAGATGACTTCAATCCACGAGAAAACGACAATAAAAATTGTAGGAAGAAACAAAAGAGTCCGGAAGGAAGAAAAAGCAGAGCGAGAAATTGGGAAAATGGCGATGGAAGGTGGCCGGCCATCCACCCTTTCATTTCCAAGTCAGGAGTTCCTCAGGAGCTGCACGTGATGCCCATCGGCCCAAATAAACGATCGGCGCCTGGATGTCGCCTTTCTCTCCTCTGCGTTTCACTCCCCAACCAATGCATTTAGTTGAGTGAGTGAATGAGGTTCCTGCCTCACACTTTTCTCTCCTGACGTGTCATTATGTCTGCCCTCTGAATATTGTTTGTTTGTTTGTCAGTGGTTCAGCCTGACGAATCTATGTCGATCTGTTACGAATCCCGCCTCCAGCACTCCGTCTTTCAAGCTTCCGAGGCTGGAACTACTGCAGTGATGCGATAGCGCGTATCTCGCTAGCCCGCTTATTCGGTCCTTTGACATGGATGTTCCCGGCGAATTATGTTAGTCTATCCATGCCAGTTCATGACTCGCTGCCGCACGCTTTACTTTTTAGTCTGGTGCATGCCATCCCACACTATGCGCTCGTGTCCAGTGCTTTTCCCTCGTGAACCATATCCCATATGTCAGCATGCAACGATCTCGATCTGCTCCATCATGCTTCAATCTGAACAATAGAGGCTGAGGGGGTGAAGCACAAGCTGCACAACCCATGTCCAGGAGATTTGGTTCGTTGTTTGTTTCCACCTCGGAACCGGAGATTGTATACAGGAGGATCCAGCCACGATAAGCTCAAGCACCCGCAGTTGGGGATGCCAGATACCACACAGGCCAGCGTAGCTCCTGCTCAGGAGGCTCAGCGGGTGCGTGCATTCTGCTTGCCTATTTGGAGACCCTTACAGTTGTGACAGTATTCTGTCGAAGTTTTCGACTTTCTCGTAGGGAGTGTAGGGAGTAGGCCATCAATACTGCGATTCCATGATTGCTTATCGCCAGATGTCTTATCATCACGTGATATGAGACATCATCGGCCGCGGTTTCCCTGCTGGGCTTCTTCTCAACTGGCTCTCCTCGTCAACTGCCAACATGGCGGGAATCTATGCATTTCTCTCACCATTTTGAGTCAAAAACTGCTTTTCTGGATAGTTTATCTGCGCTTTTGACTTTCGATGACCGGTCTATGCTTTCTAGTAAAGCAACAGGTCAGATTTCAAGCGCTATCAACTAACTCGGAGCGCCACCACATTATGGCAAGATGAGAAGATCTCTACAAGGCTATAAACTGATCTACCAACCCCCTGGCAATGTCGTCATGGGACCCCAAAATTCGACCTCTACCGCCTGATGTAGTGGCGAAGCTCAAGTCCTCAACTGCCATTACACACTTGAACGGGGTTATTGTAGAGCTAGTCAAGAATGCATTGGATGCAAATGCTCGTACAGTCTATGTGACCGTCGACTTCGTTCGCGGAGGCTGTATAGTTGAAGATGATGGAGATGGGATTCCTCCAGCGGAGTTCGAACCAGACGGAGGATTGGGGAAAGCCCACCGTAAGTTTAATCGTCACATATCAACGTCCTTAACTCATAGAGATGCAGATACTTCAAAATACCATTCGAGTCATGCTATAGAAGGACGTAAAGGGCTGTTTCTCGCCTCACTTGCTGCCCTTTCTCTGCTGACTATCACATCACACCATGTGCGCCATTTGAGTACTAATACCGTAACGTTCCATCACTCGACACCGGTTGCTCGATTGATGCCAGCTCCAGCATATCAAGAGCTAAGGTTCAGTGCCCATGGCACGTCCGTCACAGTAAACGATCTGTTCGGCAATATGCCCGTGCGCGTAAAGAGTCGAGCATTGGCTCTTCAAAGACCAGATGAACTGGAACGACAGTGGGAGGAACTAAGGCACTTTCTGGTGTCATTCATGATCGCAAACGACAGGATGGCTAAGCTAGTGGTCCTCGACGCTCATAGGGATAAGAAGATCACCGTACATCCACAGAGACCTGCCAGACAATATGGCGGGGAACCCGATCTACAACGGCTTCGTTCTATCCTGGCACAGTCGGGGCTGGTTGAGGCTCAGAATACGGGCATCTGGGATACTGTATCGGCCAGCGTTTCTGACTTCACAATACATGCGGCAGTCTCCTTGACGCCTAGCCCTACGAAGAAGGTCCAGTTTGTCTCTTTAGGCTCGAACCCGGTGTTCGCGAGAAACAACGCAAATCTGATATTTGCGGAAGTCAATCGCGCATTTGCCTTGTCGGACTTTGGGTCTACAAAAAGCCGTTCCTCTGCAGTTGAAGCATCTGTCCGGGCTGCAGATGGCCAACTCATGCATAGCAAACCCGCGTCTAAAGCAGTCAATAAATGGCCAATGTTCTATATACGTATAGACAGCTGCAATGAGTGGAATATCGACGATGATACGCAAGAACTTCCAGAATCAGACAAATCTCTCCAGCGTATACTAGATGTGCTGTCGACAATGATCAACGAATTCCTCAGGCAGAGCAGCTTACGTCCACGTACTGGGAAAAGGAAAAGAGGTGCGCCCAATGTACCGCCAGCTACTACGCGCCCTAGCAGCGTAAAGACCGGAAGGTCTCTATCTTCAGAAGGCGTCGGCTCTGTCACCGAAGAAACCCTGGGTGGTCAACTCAAGCTCCCCTCTTTACGAAGACCACCCAATGTCAGCCATCATTTCGGCGATTGGACCAGAATCAAAAGTGCAAAGCCGGAAACGTTCAGCAAGAGTTTGCCTTTACGCGGTTCCGAATTCGGGTCAGCTGGCTCAGAGAAAAACCCAGCACATCAAGTCCGGGATCAGTTGAACCAGCAATCAGCGCTTCTTTCTGCTGGCAGGGAAGACACGGCCACCGAGCCCCAATCTCCTATACCAGATGTGTCAGAGGTGCACGAAGGACAGCTGAATCAGGTCCACGAAGAGTCATATACCGACACGATGATGTCGTGGGTCGATCCTTACACGGGTAGACGCCATTTGATCAACTCGCGAACTGGTCAGTCCATGCTCCTTGAGTCTTCAGGAGCATCGGGCATGGTGCTGCGACCCCGGTCCACTGGCTATTCACAAGGACCACATCGTACTTCAGACGAAGTGCAGCGACCGAGATCAGTCCCTTTGCAAAGGACTGAC